GGTGTTGCTTAAAATGACGAAATTCGCTGGAATGGTCCAAGGTTTTTGTCAACGATTGTAGGAGTGACCATTTTATACAAAGCCATGCAAGCTGGAACAAAACTGCCCATCAATGGATTTCACCCACTTATGACTAAAGGCATGTAGCATGAACAGTCACCACTAAGGAAAAAGCAACAAACCTAACTCATGTTTAAAGCACATTCTATCATATTGTAGTGATAGTTGAAAGATGGGAAAAACTATTCTTCTTAATATTATAAAATAAAATTATTTCAAATGGATCATTACAATAGATGGAAATGAGATGGAAAGATAAATGGAAGGATTCAAATTCCTCTGGTGATAAAATTCTTATTTCCAACAGCTTTAACATACTATTATCACTTCATTTACCCTGGCTCCAGAGGCTTGTCTTGTATTCTTTTGTTTATTATGTTATTGAGCTGCGAATAAGCGGCGAGACGTTTCCGTTAATCGGTTTGTTCCTTTTCGCTTGGCGGAAAAAAACAAACCGATTAACGGAAACTTCTCGCTGCTTCGCGGCTCGATCACAATAATAAGCCAGAGAATAAAAGACAAGCCTCTGGAACCAGGGTACACTTCATTGGGAACTCAAAAATTTAAAATAGAAACTAAATTTGATAAAATAATGAACAAAAATGCAAATTAAAGTCAGTGACATTTCTTAACATTCACGTGGTCAGTGTTGTAAAAAACAAAATTCCTGTTCAATAATATTTCATTGACAAACAAACAAAAGAATAAAGCAAACCTACTTGCATGAACCACCACTCTACAAGTATAACAGCGTAGTAGCTGACTTTCCCTATCACTGGCAAAACTGCTCTCTAACCATGATGTCATACTTTCTGGACTTGAACCATCTGACATGAAACAGATCTCTGGTACTTTGGGCTTTGTGGGTGTTAACCTGAACTTCTTTACTTGGTACTTGGATGTTCGAGAGTGACTTAATAATGTTTGTGCAAGTTTAGGTAGTTTTGATGGTAGATCATTTTGCAGATATTCCTAGAAATGATAATTAAAATATAAGTTTTGATGAACAGCTTTAAATGTCAAGAGCATGTCAATAAGAGGACATAGTAAAGTGTTTTTGCATTGGATCAGTACAGCTAGTTTATGAATAAGTTCAATTGTCGTGCCACATGCATTCATGAAAAAGGAAAATAAGCAGAGCTTGAATTACAGGAGGAGATTTTTGTAGCAGTAATTTAGGTCATTTAGGAAGGAGGTCTAAAATCAAACATACAGATTTCGCAGTTGGGACCCATTAGTGCTTAATGCTTATGTGCAACAAGCAATATTTGACTAAGAACACAAACGAGGTTCAGGGAAAACAATGGATAATCTTACAGCATATTATTTTATTTTCAAGGAACCTTGTCTACAATTCTCTTGTGCATGGCCACTGAAATATCTAGAGTTGGCTATCAACATCTGGTCACTGCAGTAATAATTATATATTGAAAAATTACCTTAAAATCAATAAAATACTGGCACAATGAACAATAAGGTTCCTGCTCAGCTAAGAGCATATTGAATGCTTGTTCTGCCTTGAAGTTTGGTTCTTGGTGAAGCCACAGTCCATCTAATATGCTGACAAGTTTATGGCTAACTGATAATCGTTTTCTGGTTGGGAGTCGCAAACCACCATCTTCTAACTTACGCTGTGAACTGGGTAACACGACAGACTTGGTAACAGGTGGCTGACGTTTTGAATATGGAGACATCAGTGGTTTTCCTTTTGACCTATCAATTATTTAATGGATAATTAGGTCATATTTGGGCTTCATTTCATGGTATTGCAAGCACAAGACAAAATGAATCCATACCCTAAGACAGAAAAAGAAAGGCCAGGAACAGCACTCATAAAGTATACATAGAGGTTTAAGCCAGAACTAGATTTCTCTTGTAATGGACAAGGAGCGTAGCGTATTGGAATGGAGAGAGAAATGTGTTCCTATGGGAACGAGAGGACTGGGCCCAGTATGCTAATGGTTGCTTGGGAATGGAAACATTGATATATCTAGAGTATAAATTTTATTTTTGCAGCTAATGTTATTTTTATATCCTGCCATGCAATATCTGCCTTTGTATTTACGATTTGTGAGAGTGGAACTGCTCACTCCTGCCGCCATCTTTGCAACTAACAGATCGCGACCCAACAAAATGACGTCATATGACGCGTTTGGCCGAGCGGAAAAAGAGGACAAATTTTGGTTGAAAAATCGCAACTTTCAACGCTCATAACTTTGCGGCTTTTAATCAGATTTGGTTAAAACCCGAGATTTGAGGTTTTTGAATAGCATTCTGTCAATGGACAAAAAACTGTTTTCGTGTCATATGTAGCCTGCGTGCATCCGTTTCTCGCCCCTCCAAAAAAATCGGGGAGATTTTTTTGGAGGGGTGAGAAACGGATGTACACAGGCTATGTCATATGCTCTTTACAAGAGAAATACATTACTTATAGTGGTGGCTTTCTCTGAAACAATTGATCTGCTGGAGTTGGAAAAGCCACCCTATGAAATCGTTTAAAGCTCTATTTTTTAAAATAGAAAAAAAAAACAATTATAATATTAAAACATACTTAAAATTATTAAAATAGACTTACTTATATATAATTAAAATTATTAAAATATATTTATTACTCCAAGTTCACTTTTATGATGATTATTACGGCATCCTTGTAAAGCAGGATTTTATTTTGTTAATTACTATACATTGTGCGTATTTTATAGATATGGATAGACAGATTGATACAGCTTATTATAATAGTTTTTTCTTAAATATTTCTATTTGTATTTCCCTGAAGGGTTTACCTTTAATGAATAAAGTTATCATATTATCATTTCTAGAATACATCGAGGCAATCGAGGCGGGGGTTGGGGGGCGGTACTTAGTCCAGGTTCGTGTACAAGAACGTTCCACTGACCCTATTTAAGATTGTCAAATCGTGAAATTCCATACTCCATTTAAAAGACCTATCAAGGTCCTAAATCAGGTAGAGTTCGTTTTCATTTTGACTACTTCTAACTAACACTCTATATATAAGACATAGAAAGTACACCCCCATTAAAGACAAATGAAGGTCAATTTCATAACCTATGTTTTAAATAAGATGCAAAAAAACATGCCCTATTTGTTGGAACTTCTACGTACAATAAATAACAAAATAATTAATACCCAACTCCCCCTGAGCTAACTATTTTGCTGGAGTAACTTACAAGATATTACGTTGCAACTGTGATAAAATTGTTCATATATATTTCATCTACTAATGATATTTAACAACACAAGTACAAAACAAATATTTGATAGAAAGTAAATGAATTAATTTGAATTATGTCTGAAATTTAACACTGTAAAAGGTGTAGTACTACTACTAGGTGAAATAACTTAGTAGTTAGTCCTTCGTCAAGAGATGCGACTAAGCTTGAGTACATGTGAAAATTAGTTGGTCCTGATGAAATAAAATAGGTTGAAAAGTCTGACCCTGAATTGCAAGTGCTTGAAGCAATTGAGGAAAACAAGAGCCTGGAGACTGTATAATAAAGGAAATATTAAATCATAAAGGACCATTCACCTCTCTGAAAAGTCATGTTTTGGTATTCTGGTGTTCAAAGGTGAAATGATGAACATGTGCATAAATCAAATAGTACAAATGGATGAGTTTTCATAAATCCTGTACGTGTATTCATAAAATGTTGTGAGACAGCATAAGGAAATTATAATGGAAACATTTATGAGACAAACAGAGTCTGCTGTGGAGTAGTTGAGGAGTTTAATGTTTCAAAACAGTAAGAAGGTAAGAAAGGCAAAATGTTATCCATTGTGTTATCGTACCTTTTCTGCTTATGAAAATTCTTTGATGGAGCAGTTCTAGGTTTCTTCATTTTATGTGGTGATATTTCATCTTTATTGTCATCTGTGCTATCCTCTTCACTATTCTCCTCATCCTCGGAGCTATTACTAGAATCACTTTCTTCTTTTCTCTTCATTGCAAGATAATCTTCCCATTGTTCAGGCTAACAAAGCAAAGTGAAGAATGATAGATTAATTTTTATATTATATTTTATGAAACCAGTAAAAAAAACATCAAACAGTCAAGAAGCACTGTCATGAGATTGCACACAAAATAGGTCTTTTCTCTAACAGCAATAAAATTGCATTTGATTGCCAATGCCATTACAAACTGGTACTCGTACAATGTAGGGGACAAAACACAAAAAATAAGGTCTCAAAGTTCACCCTCTGTATAGTAATCTACTTGTATGCGTGGCATCTTGTTTGATATTCTGAAAATGACTTACCATTATAATATCTTTTGAACATTCCCACTACTGAGCATGGAATGTCCGTGGTGGTTTTATTGATTAAGTTAATATTGTGATTCATTATGACCTTAATGGTGTGCCTCTTTGGCAGCCTGTGTTACAGCTGGAACTTTCTCCACAAATCTGGCTGAAACACAGGATACCTCAGTTTTTGGGATCAAAACTMTTAACCAAGAGTTGTCTTTAATTCATTATGCCTATTATTCCAGAATCTGTGATTACCAGCAATGGCTATCTACTGCCCTGGGGCCAGTGTATGAAGCCTGGATAAGTTATCCACTGGATAAGTGCTATCCAGCGGATAAACTCAACATCCAGCAGATAGTTATTCAGTGGATAAACCCTAACTCAGTTTTGTGTAACAGGATCACAACATTAGCACACCATTTTTATCCATGGATAAATATTTATCTGCGGGTAGCACCTATTCAGGCTTTGTACAACCGGCCCCTGGAATTCAGCAGGAAGCTTCTATGTTTTTACAACAAAAAAAAAGGTTTTGTATTTTATATTTGATAGTTGTTTTTTTTTTAATTGCATCAGCTTCTCTAAGATTTGCTTGCTCAACCTTCTGCATTTGAAATCAAGCTGCATGTAGCAATATATCAAAGGAAAAGTCTAACTAACTAAGGGATGTTTTTTCTTTGTTTCCTTGATTGTATTTTTATTTTGCTTTATTTATAATTTTACTTGTTTGTTTGTTGTTGTTTGTTTTGTTTGGAATTTGGGCTACCTGTGGTTAAAGAGGCCAAAACAATGATCATATGAACATGATGATAGTGTACCTGATACTTCTTGACAAAAGCATCCATACATATCTTAACAGAATCTTTTTTGCACTGACACTGTAAACATAAAGACAACATCAATAAATGAAAATATATCAGTTAATCAATATACAGGAAATAACTAGATAACTACTCATACATGATAAAATTCTGAAAATGAGTTTTGCATCATGGGAAGATGGATCAGTGGTAACATTTCACCCCTAAGAGGAACATTTCACCCCTAAGAGGAACATTTCACCCTAAGAGGAACATTCCACCCTAAGAGGAACATTTCACCCTAAGAGGAACATTTCACCCTAAGAGGAACATTTCACCCTAATAGGAACATTTCACCCTAAGAGGAACAAATCAAAAATGCACCATTTTGGTTCAGTTTTTTTTGTAATTTCTTGACATCAAATGTTATGATCTTACTCGGCCAAAGATGGCACTCTTATACACAAAACTCAGTTGGTGGGTTTTCCTATTGTTATCACCCTGAGCAGCACCAAAACACAGATTTCTGCATGCTTCACATTTAATTAATTCACTGACAAGGTTTTGCTGGAAAGTTACCTTCTGTCTATGTTTGTTGGAAAGCCATCAATAGAAATGGAAATCGCATCAAGGATCATTTATTAATTTGGCATGGTTTGCTGGACACAATGTAACAATTTCAATAAATTTCTAATGAAGGGCAAATATGGAGAGCTTGTTTTTTTTACTAAATAAATATTCTAGATAGTCTGCGTATATTACGATAGAAAACCGTTGATCAAATGACAACAGCAACAGTTGCTGCTTAAATATTAAAACAAGCAAGTGTATTAACACTTGTTCCTGATATGTAATAAATCACTTACATGGCGCTAGAATTACATAAATAACATCTGACATTCGATATGTGAACTAATGCATATATAATATTGGGGCGAGATGGTGGGGCAGATGCCAGAGTGGGGGCGAGATGGTTGGGCGAGATGGCAATGGGGCGAGATGACTGTAATTCTTAAAATGCTTTGTTATATATAGTTTGGTATTACCAAAAAGATAACACCTTAATAATGTCAACATATGTTTGGAATCATTTTGAGTACTTACAACATGAGCTTTTTTGCCATAATCTATCCATCTCTCAGATGCAAAGTTTGTTGATTCAGCACAATTAAACCCATGGTTAAAGCCACAGTGATAGCCAAAGGGAAAGGTGACAATGAACTCACCAGCTTCTTGAGTTACCTGTAACACAAAAAACAATCAACACAACATATATATTAGGTAAAAACTTATTTTTATGGTATGCTATGCTATGGAATCGATCCAAAATATAAAGCACAGCTTAGAGCATGACATATTATATAAGATAGATTATATAAGAGATTCAGCTGGTGGAGTATTTGTCAACAGCTGAAACTGAAACTGAACTAATATGTTGTTGTTTTCTTGTTTGTTGTAATTGTTTTTTTGGATAGAAATTATTCTATATTTTATAATATGAAATAGATAGCTAACTAACTAATTACTATGTCCTAAGCCTTGCCTTAGCCTATAATTAGTTGGGCGAAATCTGTGAACTGTGACAGTGCATGTGCGTTTATATGCACAAACTTTTTTGATAAACTCTTCTTGCGGTTTATTTTGAGCTTCAAGCAGGATAAATTTAGAAGGGTGCTGTTGGGTCTTATCATTGAAGTATGCGTCTCCGTTTTTATATATTTGATTTTAGCCAAATAACACAGCTTTGAGTGATAGATGTTGTTACAGATTTTTCTTGTCTTGATTTTAAGTTTAGACTTTTACAATAAATTTGTTAGAAAACATGTTTATTTGAGTATTGGGTCTTGATATTGTTTTTTTTTTCTTTAGTCTTACAATGTCTTGTGTCTCAATTTTGCTGTGGCACAGAGAATTAAGTTTTTAAACGCGTTTTATTTGGGTATTGTGTGGTTATTTTAGCTTAAAGATGCATCTTGTGTCTTAATTTTGCATCAGCCCAAATAAATAAAGTTTCTTAAAGGGACATGGTCCCACTAGCATGCAATGTGGTCGTGTTTTAGATTTTTCATATTATGGAAAATGAGGTGACTTCGAATATCCATTTGCAATCTGTTTCCATCCATCGGTTTAACTGTCGAATCTTATAGGATAAAGGAATAATAAAGAGTAAGTTTTTGCTTATATTATGATATATTTCTATTTTCAAACATAAACAAAAGCTCGAGAGGAATGCTGGTGGACCATGTCCCCTTAAACACGTTTTCTTGCGCATTGTCGTGGTTATTTTAGATTTAATTGTCTTTTGTCGTTTTTGTGCTAGCAGTTCAAAGGAATGAAATCATTTTACTTGCGTTTTGTTGTTATTTTAGCTTTAGATGTAGTTTGATTTTGTAGCAACAGATTATGCTTGCAAAAAGCATGATACCATGTCATGCCTTACTGAATTCCTATTTCTTGTCTAAGCACTAACTATTCCCTATTTGTCACTATCTATTTCACGGGTATATTGTTTGCACTCTATCTAAAAGTTGCCAAGTACACTTTAATTTGGACCCTCACTCTTTTGTGTGTACTACAACACCACAAACAACTACTTTGAGTTTCATTGTCAATATCCGTCATTTCTATCATACTTTCCTTTTTTGTTAAGACCATCTTTACTACATCTGCTGCTCGGTATAGAGTACAAACACTAAAACTGTGCAACATAAATACCACTAAATACGTACTGCTAATTCTTAAATTATGCTAATTCTAATGTTTTCTACTGTTTAATTAACACTATTTTGTAGTAAATAGTGGAAAGTGTTGCAAACATTTAATGTTTGTACTCTATCGTACATGTAATCGCTCACTTAATTGTAACTGTGTCACACGTCACGCGGGGGACTGGGCCCAAGAGAAGGTATCACACATGCATTTGTTTAGCATCCCTGATAGCGCTAGCAAATTCAAAATGTTGAAGCACTGTCAAAAGCAAGCCATCTCAGTCTAAGATTTGAAAGAAAAGGCATACAAAGAAGTTGATAGAGATATACTCTCAACGAATCCAAATCATCTTCCGTTCTGTTTGATCTCAAAGCTATTGACCTGAGTAAAACGTTACAAGCCGTTACACCTCGTTACATGTCGTTACACACCCTTACAAGTCGCTGCATAACGTAACACACTGTAACGGTATGAACGGTATTGCAACGAAGTATAACAGCTTGTTACGACGTGTAACGGCTTGTAACGAAGTGTAACAGCTTGTTACGACGTGTAACAGCTTGTAACGGTGTGTAACGGAGTGCAACGGCTTGTAATTATATTATAACAGTTTCTTAGTTTTTTATCCTAACCCTTACCCTTATGGTTGTCATGCCAGGTATAGACTTACTATGTATTTGGGTTTGTTGTTACTTATAATGACGTGTGACACGTTACAAAAAGAATCGGCCATGTGCAAAATAATATAGCAAGGGATACAGTGACAGTATCATACCTTGTCGAAAGGAATTGAGAATTTCTTGAGTACTTGAGGTGAAATAATTGTCATTTTATGTCGTAAAAAGTTGGAGCAGCTTTGCTGACTTCCAGGAAAGAACCCTAAGTTTAAAGATGAGTTAGAAAATATACATATTTTTCTGTTATCACTTCCAAGTACTTTATTTTAGATACTTAAAATATGATAGATGAGAGAAATTACCAGTGATTGATAAAAGAGGACTTCCTCAAAACAAAGGGTGGAAATTGATCTGTACGATACCAACAAAATAATTAAAATACTGTAATGATTTTAGTTTGATAAATGATTGGTGCCCAATTATACTGACCTGCAGCTAGCCTCTCTAAACGTTGTCCATGTTCTGGAGGTACAGCATACCTAAAACAAAAAATACAAGACATTAATAAATAAATCCACTTCTCAATAAACATGTACCTTAGTTGACAACATTTACTGCAGCCAAATGTGTAGAGAATAAAAGCTATATGGGCACAAGAAATCTATAGAATAGATGGAGGGTGACACTAAATAAATGTAGCTAAAATATCAAGTTGTGGCCCTCAAAATAATATGAATTTACAAAATTATAACAAAATAATGATATTAAATAGATTAATATTCATAATCTAACACTGGGCTTCAATGTCATTTGTTGAAAACCAAGCCTCGTTTGAATTTATTCAAACTTGCAGAACTGAATAATGAAGACTTGACTTTTGTGCCAAGGTACACTATAATTAGTTTTGGTTGGCCTTTTTAATTATATCACAAATGTTAACTTAAAAAACGTTTGGTAGAACAAAGTAAAAAGGGCTAACACTATCTATTGAGCTCATTTTATAGTTTCATTTGCTTTAGACTGATTAATTGCTTTTTTGCCTGTTAACATGTAATCACACTCAAAGTCAGCTTAGCGATTTTGCTTTGATATGCCCTTTTAAAGCACATTAACATAACCTTATAAAACTTTAATGCATAAGCTATTGCTCCAATAAGGGCTGACCATTTAATCAGGTGACTGATACAACCACTAGTGTTGTATCAGATTTACAACACGGTCGTCACCATTGAGACAACCCAACACTAGCAAAGGTCTCAGTTTTAGTGTCGCATCATAGACCTTCACTAGGTTTTGAAGCAATCAAAGACGGATAACAGAACTCGCTTATGCAACAGATGGCTTGCTTTCCATGTGGGATGGATAATTATTCAAAATGTTCTGTGTTGCAGTAAATTGTGCATGCTTAATAGGGACTAAACTCAGCAGTTACCTTATTTGTCATTTTTCGTCATTTATCTCACTGTAATTCATGTTAATTTGTGTTGGAGTTTTATGTATAGTTTAAAACACGAGAGAGAGTGTTAAAACACGATCTCGAGTGTTTTAAACGGCTTAAAAAACTCCAACACAAATTTGAAACTCAAATCCGTTAAAATTCTTGGAGAAATTGCCGTACAAATATGTTCAGAGATAAATTGGGCAAACTGATCATGCGCGAATCACTTTACAAAGCACTCTTGTCATCCCACATTGAATACGCATAAAGTAAAAGAGAACCGGTGATGCCTGTCTTAATACAATCGGTTGACATCGGTCAATGATCAGTTATAAAACCTGAGACCTTTGCTAGGATCATGGACCTTTATATCTGATAAAGATCACCCTTATTAGTATTCTTTATATACAAGGAGAGTGTTTTATCAGATATAAAGGTCCATGTATGTGACCAAATAGGCTCATTCTATTGGCCTAGTAGTAGCTCATTAATTATGTATGAGTTTTTTAAAAGTCATTTACAACATTCGTGTCCGTGTTGTATGGGAATTACAATCTCTCGCCTGCGGCTCGAAATTGTAATTCCCATACAACACGGCCGCTCATGTTGTAAACTATATTTCTGTTACTTATCTTTTGTCTTTTAACCTCAATTTATGTTGTTTTGGCTATTTTTTACCAAAAAGAATATAATTCCTTTTTTCACATTTTTGGTGAAAATCTGACATAAGCATGCTACCCATGGGTAAAAGGTTTATAGACAGCAGTGAAATGAGATTGCGAATTTACCCTGTTTGCCACAAATACTTGATATCGGGCTTGCTATTATTGTTGACATAAACTGTCGGCTGCCGTGCTGACAGGGGGGGAGATGGCCGCAATCATCAAAGCTCTTAATCAGATTGTTTCCAATCTTGCAAGAGGTCACAGCTGCAGTTAATTCGGATCATTAGTGAAACAATCACAGCTTTGATGGGGGCTAATCGAGCTTTTCCCACCAAGAACAAGCAGTAAGTTTCTCCTCTCAGATTTATTTGTCTTACTGATTGGATTGGTGCTGGCATCAGAGAAGCTATGATTTGTCTTGAGATGACTGCTTGAAATCTGGTGGGATTGAGGCATTGTGTTATGTCGAGATTTTTCATATTTTTCTATTACTACTATATAACTGATTGTAAAATGTAATCACATTCAAACTGAAGATGGCTTTATGAAAGTCGAAACATGTCTTTGAAATTTAAAAGTGTTGTGTTATTTTTAAAMATTATTGCATCACTTGTGCTTTTACGCTCACTTGGAAATGTTTTTGTGAAGTCTTTGTGATTTTATTGAATATCATGTGACCGTATGTGCAGTTTTAGCGATCAGAAATTATGTCTCGGACAACTTCTCAAAACCCTGGAATGACATTTCGTCTTGCTTGAAAACTTTTGGGTTTTGTAGTATACACCTAAACAGTATTTCAAAAAAACGTTGTCAAGGAGAATGGCCAAACTTACTGCGATTGTCAAAGTGAGATTCCACAACTGAAAGGAACAATGGTTACAATGTCTTGACAAACAAAATTTCAATTATTGGCAGATTCACCTTGCATAGAAATGGAGACTAAATGGAGCCAATGTTTACCACAGACTACTGTCCGTGTGTAAATCAGTTATCCCAACTAATCATATCAAGTTACAAAGATACAGTCCCTTCTTTTTAGCCAATCATGTTAAACTGGATCAAGTCCAAAAGCTAGAAAGTTAAAAGCAAATTTGTTGCAATGGATCGAACCTTGAAGCAAAAGGCAAAAGAACACCTTCTCATAACTTTAATGAACACTGTAACGTTGATTTTATTGGTACAAATAGTCAAAAAAACTTGGTCATGATATTCGAGTTACAATTAATGCACGATTTTATACAACCCTCTTATTACACGACAAAACGACTATTTGAACAGATAACACTTCTATGCCGGGTTTGCGTCATAAAGAATGCATACAGTTCTCGCTTAGGGACTGTACAATAATTACCAGGAGGGGGGGCGTAAAACCAGAATTCTTAAGGAGAAAATTAGTTAGAACCCCTCCTCTGAAGCACAAGAAAATAGCTCTTACCCCCCCCCCCAACCTCCGCTATATTAGAAATAACGTCGAACCCCCCCCCCCTCCAACTATTAACCTTAGTTATAAAACAAGCGAGTCGAGTCAATTGCACCCAAAATTCACTAAAGACGAACCCAGATGCAAGAGGTGGCTTACTCATCTGGATCTAARTGTAAAGACAAAAACTTTCAGGAGGAGCTGACAAGCAAATGTGGTGCCCTTGCTTCTTTCAAATAATTTTGTTCCTGGCAAATGTTTTCAAGGTCCAAAAAAGACTTATGTAATGTTTTTATGGTCAAAAACGACTTTGATATCACTTGTTCTTGTTAATATGTCTAATAAATCATCAATATGTTTTTCAGCTTCTAAATCTTCAATTTAATATGTGAAAACTACATCAATCCTCAATTTATGTGAAAAAATTGAAAAAAAATTTATATCTTGGTCAATTTCAATCAAACATCAATGAGTTTTTGAATTCAGATTTCCATTAGTCAGGCGCGTAGCGTGGACTTTTTATGCACATGTCAGGGACCGCAACATATATTTTGGATCTTGGGGTCTAACGAACGCCAAAGAAAGAAAGAAAACGTCACAACATGGTCTCATTCAAAATTAATTATCTCGAAAACTAGCTTGGGACTATGTACTTTTCTTTTTGTATTCTTATTCTTCGACAAGAACCAGTCAGCACCGTAGCAGTTATCGATATGTGCTATTAAGATTTTTCGCTTTTTTTGTCCTAAGTTTACTGTTGGACGTATTGTAAGTGGTTAGTTTTAAGGTCATAAAATTCTCTTCTGTCATATATATTGTTTGTTTAAACGAGTGTAATATTTTTAAATATTAAAATTAAAATTAAAATTTCGGTCAATTTTGGTTGTCATTTTGTTAGTGTTCCTGAGACATTTGAGAATAGCTGAGGTGAYGTTTTTGACACCATTTTTTGTGGTAAAAATAACAACGATACAGTTGAAATCCTATTCATGTTAGCATGAGTGTGCAAACAACACGCCACGTCTACGTCAGGCGGAGGGGTCTGCATTTGTCTTAGACAAACCATACCGTGCACTCGATTATCACAATGTGAGCATCCTGAGTCTCTTTATTGGCTTTCAGTGAGACCACACAGCCTACCTAGATCGATCTTGTCAATAGTGCTTTGCGTTGTTTATCACTCTACAGCTAATGGTCAACCTGAGAATGTTGTTTTGTCCAACAATATTCGAACAAATCTGGACAGCCTACTTATGAAACAACCTAATGCTTTGGTGGTGATTGTCGGAGATTTCAATCCCCTTTCAACGGGACTCAAACCAAAGGATTTGACACAGCCAAATAATCTTAAACAAATCGTAAAATTCAAGACCAGAGATACAGGAATACTAGACTGGTTCCTTACAACAGACCCGCTATTTTTCAAATGTTCCAACTGCCAAAGATAGCGAGGAGTGATCATTTTACGATTTTAGGAAAACCGATAACAAATAGCCCACATTCACATGCAATTCAAAAAGTGACGGTGCGTGATTTACGTGACAGCGCGTGGCGTACGGGATCGGGTAATCTTCGAGTTACGTGCTTCGAGTTACGCGCTTCAAGTTATGCGCTTTTCGAGTTACGCACTCAACCACGCCCAAATTTGCCTCGGCCACGCCCGGCGCATAACTCGATGCAACTAACATACATTAGTGTCTTCGAGTTACGCGGCTATCGCGCCTGTCGAGCGCATAACTCGAAAAGTGCGTAACTCGAAGCGCGTAACTCGAAGATTACCCGCCCTCGTGGCGTACGTTTGGGCGATGGCTAATTAATATGGACTGGTCACATTTGTCCTCTGTAGAATCATGCGAACAAAAGTTTAACATCTTCATTACTGAGTTACAGAATGTAATCGACACCTACCTTCCATTTAAATCAGTCAGAATTCATCCAACTGATAGACCGTGGTTAACAAAGAGAATTAAGTTACTAATTGGAAAGCGGCAAAGTGCATTTACTCGTGACGGGAAGGACTCCGCTTCTTACAGGCTTTGAGGAACAAAGTCAAATGGGAAATAAAGTCAGCAAAATATAACTACAGTGTACTATCATCATAAAGTAAGTGACCTTGAACACACAGATCCAAAGAAATGGTGGAAACAAATCAAGCAATTAACGGGTCAGGGCTTCCTGTGATCATTTCGTTTTATAACGAATTTTTTAATCATGATTATTTTTAATTAGCTGACACTATCTCTGAAATTCAATGCTAAACTTATTTCCCTCAGGCTCAGTGATACTTCTTCTTCAGCAAATAAATGTTAAATATTAAAATGTCAAAGGATTAACATCCGAAACGTCAGTAAGTTATTTCACATACTTTTTTTACGGTGTTAAATTTATCACAACTGTTTCTTTAGAAACACCGANCAACGATACAGTTGAAATCCTATTCATGTTAGCATGAGTGTGCAAACAACACGCCACGTCTACGTCAGGCGGAGGGGTCTGCATTTGTCTTAGACAAACCATACCGTGCACTCGATTATCACAATGTGAGCATCCTGAGTCTCTTTATTGGCTTTCAGTGAGACCACACAGCCTACCTAGATCGATCTTGTCAATAGTGCTTTGCGTTGTTTATCACTCTACAGCTAATGGTCAACCTGAGAATGTTGTTTTGTCCAACAATATTCGAACAAATCTGGACAGCCTACTTATGAAACAACCTAATGCTTTGGTGGTGATTGTCGGAGATTTCAATCCCCTTTCAACGGGACTCAAACCAAAGGATTTGACACAGCCAAATAATCTTAAACAAATCGTAAAATTCAAGACCAGAGATACAGGAATACTAGACTGGTTCCTTACAACAGACCCGCTATTTTTCAAATGTTCCAACTGCCAAAGATAGCGAGGAGTGATCATTTTACGATTTTAGGAAAACCGATAACAAATAGCCCACATTCACATGCAATTCAAAAAGTGACGGTGCGTGATTTACGTGACAGCGCGTGGCGTACGGGATCGGGTAATCTTCGAGTTACGTGCTTCGAGTTACGCGCTTCAAGTTATGCGCTTTTCGAGTTACGCACTCAACCACGCCCAAATTTGCCTCGGCCACGCCCGGCGCATAACTCGATGCAACTAACATACATTAGTGTCTTCGAGTTACGCGGCTATCGCGCCTGTCGAGCGCATAACTCGAAAAGTGCGTAACTCGAAGCGCGTAACTCGAAGATTACCCGCCCTCGTGGCGTACGTTTGGGCGATGGCTAATTAATATGGACTGGTCACATTTGTCCTCTGTAGAATCATGCGAACAAAAGTTTAACATCTTCATTACTGAGTTACAGAATGTAATCGACACCTACCTTCCATTTAAATCAGTCAGAATTCATCCAACTGATAGACCGTGGTTAACAAAGAGAATTAAGTTACTAATTGGAAAGCGGCAAAGTGCATTTACTCGTGACGGGAAGGACTCCGCTTCTTACAGGCTTTGAGGAACAAAGTCAAATGGGAAATAAAGTCAGCAAAATATAACTACAGTGTACTATCATCATAAAGTAAGTGACCTTGAACACACAGATCCAAAGAAATGGTGGAAACAAATCAAGCAATTAACGGGTCAGGGCTTCCTGTGATCATTTCGTTTTATAACGAATTTTTTAATCATGATTATTTTTAATTAGCTGACACTATCTCTGAAATTCAATGCTAAACTTATTTCCCTCAGGCTCAGTGATACTTCTTCTTCAGCAAATAAATGTTAAATATTAAAATGTCAAAGGATTAACATCCGAAACGTCAGTAAGTTATTTCACATACTTTTTTTACGGTGTTAAATTTATCACAACTGTTTCTTTAGAAACACCGATGCAGCTCACACTAGTTTACCACTAGTTCCCACCATTTTAATATTAATATAATAGTACATCGGCCAGCAGTGAGTGATAAATTATCCACCCTTAATAACTCTTTGAATGCTAATGCCATCAAAGGTGAAAACTCACCATGTTTTAGGAGCACCAAAATGCAAGTAATTGATGCTGTACAAATCCATATCTTCAGTATGCCAAGCGAATGTAGCTTTCCACATTCCAAAGTACAGATAAGGAGTATTAACCCCCTCAACTTTGACACCATATTCTTTTTGGATTAGATCAAGAATAGTGTTGAGCTTACTGATGTTCCATTCTTTCACATCTTTATCAAATAGTGATCCTGATATATCTGCAGCATAAGTTGGTGCGTTGAATGTAAGGTTCTTCCAATATTTTCTCTCAAGTTCTTCGAAGTCTCCCTTTGGAGGTTTGTGACTGGGGAAAGAAAGGAAATCAATGCCATGTTGATCCATTAATTGGCATGTTAAATATGTTAAATATAAAATTAAACACAAAAAATGCAAAACAAAATGTTTTGTGAAAATTCAACCCATAATATACATGTTATGAGTACCTTAATTTTTCTCTGAATTGTCAACAGGTTGTATGGGAAAATAACAATAAAAATAACTACTTAAAAACTACAGAGTATGAGGTAGTTTTTGTGCTTTTAAAAGCTTTAAATTACCATAGGTCATGGTAGTATACACGCTGAGGAGCCAAAATCTATTCTGATTGGTTTATCCAGCCAAAACATTCAGATTTGTGATTATCATCCCATTAAGGAAGAACTTATCATTATTTATTGGGGTGGGGGGGGGGGAATAAATTTGTGGAGAGGGCCACATTGTTTTGGATGTGTGTTTGGGGAGGGTTGAATTTTTTTTCAAATGAGCTTTAGGGGAGGGTCACAAATTTTGGACTGGAGAAAAATGAATAAGAATAATGCTTCTTGTGTTCATCTTTAAAACTCTTATCAAAAAGCTTTGGTGGAGATTTTTCAAAATTTTGCCTTGCAGGAATTTTTTTTTGGACCTTCGGGCCGTGCAGGAAATTTAAGAGAGCATGAGTACACTGTTTTGTACAAGAAGATCCGATAGAACAGCTACAACATGCTGGGAAAAGGAAAACTTATGAGTAATAAAGTAAAATGGGAGAATTCTGAGCAAAGATTACTTACTCCACAGAAAATGGTTAAAATTGATTCAGTATTAGCTTACGATATTACACCAAACAAAGGATCACAACTAAACTTAACATAAATGAATGTTTTGCACAAATGTAATACGATAAAAAGAACCTTAACAAATTCATTATAATTCATGAGGTAAACACAATGGAAAATCATTGCCGTGACTGCATCTTTATATGAGCAAGAGATTTGTCCTGATTTGCATACGACTTTAACTTCGATTTTCTCTTACAAATGATATTTTATCCTGAAGTTTTTTTCGAAATATGCTTTAGCTTATGTTGGAATTAAATAAGCAATATAAAATATTCACGTCCGACCTTTATGGGCTATAAAACTGCTCGCTTGCAGCTCGCAGTTTTNTCCCATATTAAGCATGCACAATTTACTGCAACACAGAACATTTTGAATAATTATCCATCCCACATGGAAAGCAAGCCATCTGTTGCATAAGCGAGTTCTGTTATCCGTCTTTGATTGCTTCAAAACCTAGTGAAGGTCTATGATGCGAGTTTTTGAAGCCATTTAAAACACGAGAGAGTGTGTTTTAAACTATACATAAAGGTCTCCCGCTCATATTTTATATATTACTTAAAAGGAGTATTCCAGCAGTATTTTTCTAATTTTCAAGGTCTTTTCAAATGCGCTTAATAAAAACCTTTCATTTCCAGGGCTTTTCAAGGAGTAATATGAACCCTGAATAAAATGTGCCAGTTGTTTACTCAACAAAAAGTTATTTTAATATATTTTTACTGCGGTTTTCCGTTTTCTGCGAACTCTAGCACTGCAAACGTTAACAGTCATTTGCTGTTTTTGCTCCTGTCAATCAAAATTCCGAAGTAAACAAACTGCTTTCGTGACTCCTCCCACAAAACCGAACCAAGTCCGAAAGTCCGCCATTTTGTTTGTTTCTTGCCTCGTAAGTTTAGCTCTGATCTTCGATGGAGAATTGTATTCATGCATGTCGGCCACATTCCCCCAAAAACTTCTTCCAAGTACTGGCTGTTGGATAGACATTTGTGCACAAAATCTTGAAGATATACAGGGAAATTGGAGATGTTCGAGATGGCAGACATTCGGACTTGGTTCGGTTTTGTGGGAGGAGTCACGAAAGCAGTTCGTTTACTTCGGAATTTTGATTGACGGGAGCAAAACAGCAAATGACCGTTAAAGTTCCCAGAGTTAAAGTTCGCAGAAAACGGAAAACCGCAGTAATATCTAGTATGTGTATTTTGGGGGAGACAGAAAAATCTCTAAAAGAAAGATAAATATAGAACAATAGAGCCATCATAAATATTGCTCCTTGTAGATCATTCAATATCAAACCTCTATAAGACATAGGTTTGATCTTGATCATGCAGCCATTATGGGAAAAAGAGGATGCTAATTATCACCAAAGACTCTTCCCAGAACCATGGCATATTGTGTGAGAGATCATAAAGCTATCATATTAACATCCCTGATATTTATAAGAAAATATAAATAAGCCATTTTTTTGCCATTGTGCGAGCTATTTAGTATTTGAATTTGCAAATGTCTTTTCACACTCTAATGAAGATCTTCAATATATTGACCATAACCAACTGCTCCCTTACAAATAAATAAATTAATATATATTTTCACCATATTGTCACAAAATAACATGACAAAATTGCTGGATGAATCTTATTTATAAGTATCCTGATGCATACTGGAGTGGTGTAAATACAATTCAGGTCTTTTATTACACATAGCAATATAATAATACCTTTCATCATTTGCCATAGCCTTGAATTCTTTATACGATAATTTCTTTTTCTGGACATTGAACAGTTGAAACAGACCTAAAATGACAAAAACTAATGGCATCATATAATGAGTTAAACTAAAAGTCAAATTGTAATAACAAATGACAAATTTAATGCGTAAAATTTTTGCAGGCATGGTGTAGCCCAAATCAATACTCCTACAAAAAAGTGTGCCTCAGTGGCTACTGCTCTCTTAAAAAGCGAATTGTTCCTTCTCTTTTTTTTATAGTAAAAATTCTACTTTCAGCATTATTCTCTCAACAAGCAAGCTAACAAGTCCAGCTAAACAACATGAGCACCCATGTTGCACGAGAATACCAATCTCGAGCCTCAGGCAAGAATGTGAATGTTGTAAATGACCTGTGAAATGTCCAACCAGGGTATCGTTTTCAGCAAATTTTACTCTGGAACTGGGTATCGTTTTTAGCGATTTTACTCTGGAACAGGGTATCGGTTTCAACGTATTTTCTCTGGAACAGGGTCAGGTTTTAATTCTGGAATGATTGATGCTGGTTCACGAGGTAAAAATTTGGTCTACACGCAGGCTAGTGCTGGATTTTATTCTCTGGAACAGGCTATCGTTTTCAGCGATTTTACCTTGTAACAGGGTATAGTTTTCAGCTATTTCACTCTGGAACACGGTCATGGTTTTAGGTCCCAGCGGCACACCCCCACCCAAGTTGCGGGGGAGGTGGAATGTCAACACTGATCAACATGAATTACGTATATAGTTTAAAACACAAGAGAGAGTGTTTTATCAGGTATAAAGATCCCGAGTGTTTTAAACGGCTTCAAAAACTCCAACACTAATTTGAAACTCAAATCCGTTAAAAATTCTTGGAGAAATCGGTTGACATCCTGCATTGGTCAATGATCAGGTTTCAAACCTGAGACCTTTGCTAGGATCATTGGCCTTTATATCTGATAAAGGTCACCCTTATTAGTATTCTTTATATAAAGAATACTAATAAGGAGTGTTTTATCAGATATAAAGGTCCATGCATGTGACCAAATAGGCTCATTCTATTGTCCTAGTAGCTCATTAATTATGTATGAGTTTTTGAAAGTGAGATAAATGATGAAAAATAACCCACAATGACAAACAGTGAGTTTAGTCACTATTAAGTTCCATGTAAATCAAAAAAAGTTTTTGTCATTTTTGTTTTGTTTTTGTTGTATTTTTTGTTATTTGTTTTTTGTTTGTTTTTTGGCAACAAGTATAATTTCAAACTGTTACCGGTTACTCGCCCCATTACCATCTCACTCCAACTATGCCATCTCGCCCCCACCCCACCATCTGGCATGGTATCTCAATCACGTATCACAATCACTAGGACTCTGGTTTAGCTGACTAAACCCTTTGAAAAGCGATACATCCTATAATGGAGTTGCACATCAATCTTCACTGGTCGCTCTCAAATGTGGTAAACCATCAGACGTATAAACAGCCAGTCAAACTCAAAAATAATTTGCACATGCGTAACAACTGACTACTTTATTTTAACTAATCACATTTACCGGTAATATTATTTTTAAAACTTAAAGCTCATTTTTTTCAAATTTATCAATCTTTACGCATGTGCATTGCAATTGGCAACATCAAACAAAAAAGCTTAATTTTATCCCTGAAATCGTTTATATTTCATGAATTCACTATTTATTGGCTTTGTCATGGTAATTATACTGTATTTGGGATTCGTTCAATTACAAATATTACTTCTTTTAAAAAGGTAATGTTAATATTAAATTTGCTTAAGTTACCCTCTTGCATGTTGATACAAAAGAAATCCATGTCACTCCACTCTCTGACATTCTTGACTTCAGCGTCTTTAACGCAACTAAAACAACTTTCTGCCATTTCTAATCAGCCTGGCGTATTGCAAAAAGTCATTCCTGAATTTATATGTTTTATGGGAATGTATTCGTATGAGAGATTGATTATTGCCAAATATACTTAATATGTTGTTAATATTATATAATATATTAAATACCAAAACATAAACTAAATCTCCTCGGCTTCGGGGACATTTATCTCTTATATCCCTCAGTAACATGGTATTACTAAATATAATAATATACATTTGGGAAGTCCTAATTTCTTCGATCCTATTCAAAGGAGGGCAAGATTGGTCTCTTTATTTTCCTAGGGATGGCCTTAATGAAAATTTAGAGGTTAAAGGGTTTAATTCCAGAATTATTGATGCTGGATAAAAATCCACGGGGTAAAAATTCGGTCTACACTCAGGCTAGTGCTGGATTTTACTCTGGAATAGGGTATCGTTTTCAGTGATTTTACTCTGGAACAGGGTATAGTTTTCAGCAATTTCCAAGTTCGGGGGGAGTACCCCCCCCCCCCCCGGGTTCAACCCCCATGACTGCCCGAAACTCATCCCTAAACTATACTTTTAAATGAGAACTGCTGAACCTGTTATGCACAATAACATAAAGAAACATAAAGAAAGAATAAACATATTTCCTAGAAAAGAGAGATAAGGTTTACAGTAAGTCTACACTGCAAAACCACAAAAATAATAACTGGAAGGATTTGCGGTGACGAACTGTGACGTTAGGCAAAAAGCTATCACGTCCAAGCAATCGTAAACAATAGTTCTTTGTGTAGTTCTTGCTAAAACTTCCGATTTTAAATCGTAATAATAATGATGGCCAATGATGGAAGTTTTTGATCTTTACCAAAGTTTCGAGCGGTTTTCATTTAGTAAAGTAATGGTCAAAGTATAATATTGTGTGCTATTTAAAACATGCAAAATAAGGAATAATAAATTGTATAATTGGTCTATCTACTCTTAAAGCTTTATTAAGTTAATACCAGAGCAATTGTTAGCATCAACACATAAGCTGTAGACATAAGACTTAAAGCTAACTTAATATAGGCTTAAGTTGATATTTTTTGGATGTTTCTTGTTAGTACTTTCATGAAAAGAGACCTACAGCAGTGAACGTAAAACTATTTAGCTAACAAGTGAGCTTAGTTTTCAAAGTAAAAGACTGAGCTCAAAAATGTGAAGTCAGCTAACCTTGTGTGCCAGTAATAACTTGATGAATTGGGGCAGGGATATCGATATCCACTGCGTTGTAGTTTCTTCTTGGGACCCATTCGTTAGGAGGAACGATCTACGTGAACAACAACACCGAAATACTGAATCGAGAGATCTGAGAGAGCGTGACAGAAGTCACTCGCTGAATCAAGTCATGCCATGATCTTTATTACATTTGAATTTCTTTTTAAGCATTACTTACCTTGACAATGCCTGCTTTATGGGCTCCATGGGACTCCAATTTTCGTATGTATGCTGAAAAATCGGAGAATTCTGCCCTGGTTGGACGAAATACCATGATCTTGCCCTCGCTATAAGACATTGGGCCCTTCGTCTATTTTCTTGAATTTATGCTAAAAGCTCAGCAAAATCTAAAATATTTGAAAGAAATCTGTCTTTTCAAATCACAATAAATGATTTTAGTGTTCATAAAATGTAGTTTCACCTTTGCTTCGAGGTAAAAATATAGACGATCGATTTAAGCTTAAGTTATGTACAGAAATTTACAGCTTGCACCACCAAGAGGTTTCTTTGTTGTGTGATGGACACTTCATAGTGGAGCTGCAGGCGGCTGAAAACTGAGAAACCGGGAGTTATTTTCTGGACTGTCTTTGATTTCTAGTCTCTGGTCGGAAAGATCCCATATGTCCACACAGCTATCATTCACGAGATTTCTTTTTCGAGCAGTTTTTGCAAGGTTTTAGCCAAATTACACAGGAAGCCCAATTATTTCGCGTGAGATCTGGGAACAAGTTTCTTCCAAAGTCGTGAAAGGCTAGAGCAAGGGCGCCAGGAGAACCATAACAGTTTTTAAATGATATTCTCATACTCATTAATTATTCATGAGGTATCTAGCAAATCCCTGATTGTAATTTGTACCACGTGCAGTAACTGGATACCAGAGGAAGTACTCTTGCCTTGTATTCTATCTTATTTCCAGTTACTTCCACCTTGTTTCTAGTTACTTCTATCTTATTTCCAGTTACTCTTACCTTGATTCTAGTTACTTCTAGCTTTTTCT